TTTCAAATAAAGTTTAATGTAATTATATAATTAAGACTGCATTGCTAGTTTCCTCAGAACTTGCTGACTTGTCTCCTCTTTAAAAAATGTTGAATTTTATCCTCATGAGCAGCAACATTTTTCTCTCTAAGGCTTATTCTTTCTTTTCCAGAATGATAGTTAGCTTCCAACTACAACAATATGCTCTGTGCTGTTCTTGAAAGTTTGCATTCTTCTTTAGTCATCATCATTTATCTGTCTAATGTAGGGCTCTATTTCATAGAAAAGACATGACAATCTGCTTGAGATTTAATAAATCCAAACAGTTTCATTATAATGTTTGAATGTTTGTTTGAATGTTTATTATATTTATATCCCGCCCTTCTCCTTACGGACTCAGGGCGGCTAACAGCCAGATAAAACAACTACAAAATACAAAATACCAATACTACAGTTAAAACACAATTAAAAGACAAATATTAACAATTGGCCTATAATTTAAAATAATTTTAAAACCCCCGTTAAAAATTTCCCCTAGGCCAGTCCTGNCTTTAAAGATGATGGTCAGCACCTTGAAGCGCACCCGGAAAGCCACCGGCAGCCAGTGCAGCTCGCGCAACAGCGGTGTTATATGGGAGCGACGAGTCCCTCCCAACACCGCCCGCGCGGCCGCATTTTGGACTAACTGGAGCCTCCGGGTGCTCCTCAAGGGGAGCCCCATGTAGAGAGCATTGCAGTAGTCCAGGCATGAAAATATAATGAAAAATTATATAGCAACATGTGGCCTGCTTTTATCTAAATCACCTTATTTTCAACTTTTTAAAGAAATGTGAGATTGGTATACCCTGCCTATCGCTTTTGGACACATTTTGCTTCAGTGAAGTAACTTCCAATATTTGAATGGAACCTATAATTAGCCCTGTCTTGGCCAAGAATCCTCTCAAGAGCACTGGTGTGCTTAGATGTGCCACTCCCATTCTTGAAAGATCAAGATATTTTATTTAAATGAAGACTACCAAAAATGGAAATGGTTCACTAGAGTTGAAGCATAAGTTGACAATCAAGATATATTATCTGTATTCTAAATATGCATTCAGTTCATGAGACTTAGCAAAGTTATTACTTCATACTGGAAATAAATTCCATAATATACAAGAAGAGGAATTGCTTTGAAAATGTCATAGAATTCAGTGAATTTTACTGAAAGTGAGAAGAATTATTTTGTTAATTAAGAATTTGTTTAAGCTATCCAGATATTGGCACAGCTGAATTGGCACAGAACATCTACTACATTTTTAAAACTCAGAATCCTTAAAAGAATCCTTAAAAGGTACAAGTGACTTGTGTTTAGGCACTAATTTCAACAAGTCACTCACAACACATACCCACAAAGTCCACTAAATTACATGTCATATTTCATGTCATGTATGAATTGTTTCTAAAACTATTCTTAAAATTTATTTTTATGCTATTACATATGGCTCTTTCATTAAAGGGATAATATCAAACCTTTTTTATATTCCAGTAATAATGAGGAGTGTATCAAAAACAGTGCCATTACTCTTTCTTTGCTTTCTTTTAACCATTAACATATTTGGAGCAACATTTGGAAAAGCTGCAGGGAAAACAACGCAGCTACTTTTTAAATACTTCAACAATACACACACTAATTCCTACTGGACTGTGAATCTTTTTGGATTGAAATACTTAACACTTTTCTTTAACATGCTGGCCAAATATATCGTATAAAAAACCACAAATTCCATGCAAGTTAAAAACTAATTTAGTAGACCAGCGAAACGCTGTGGACATAGTATACTTAGATTTCAGTGAGGCATTTGACAAAATAGACCACAATCTACTGCTTGGTAAGCTAGAAAAAGGTGGGATAGACAAAATCACCACCAGAATGGATCTGTAGCTGGCTGAAAAACCATACTCAGCGAGTAATCTTCAATGGTACTACATCCACATGGAGAGAAGTAAGCAGTGAGGTACCACAAGGCTCCGTTTTAGGCCCAGTACTCTTTAATATCTTTATAAATGACTTAGATGAGGGAATAGAAGGGAAACTCATTGAATTTTCAGGTGACATTAAACTGGCAGGAATAGCCAACACCCAGAAGACAAGCTCAGGATCCAAAAAGATCTTGACAAACTTGAACAATGGGCTCTATCCAACAAAATGAGTTTTAATGTGGAGAAAAACAAAGTTTTACATTTAGGCAAGAAAAATCAAAGATATAAGTTCAGATTAGGTGAGACCTGGCTCAAAAACAGCAACTGTGAGAGGGACCTTGGAGTCCTAGTGGACGATCACTTGACTATGAGCCAGCAGTGTGCAGCAGCAGCAGCCAAAAAAACTAATACAATCCTGAGTTGTACAAACAGAGGCATAGAATCAAGATCACACGAAGTATTAGTACCGCTTTATAAAACCCTAGTAAGACCACACCTGGAATATTGCAACCAATTTTGGTCACCATACTACAAAAAAGATGTTGAGACATTGGAAAAAGTTCAGAGAAGAGCAACTAAAATGATCAAAGGCCTGGAGATTAAAACATATGAAGAAGACTGCAGGACTTGGATTTGGCTAGTCTAAAGAAAAGAAGAAATAGGGGAGAGATGATAGTAGTGTTCCAGTATCTGAGGGGCTTCCACAAGGCAGAGGGGGCCAGGTTTTTCACCAAAGCACCAGAGGGAAGGATGAGAAACGATGGTTGGAAACTGATCAAAGAGAAAAGCAACTTAGAATTAAGGCGAAACTTCCTAACAGTGAGGACAAGTAACCAGTGGAACAGCTTGCCTTCAGAAATCGTGGGCGCTCCATCACTGGAGGTCTTTAAGAAGAGACTAGACAGTCACTTGTCTGAAATGGTATAGGTTCTAGTCCAGCAGGAGGCTGGACTAGAAGACCTCCAAGGTTCCTTCCAGCTCTATTCTATTCTAAGTTTTTGCTTTTTTGTAGTTTCTATTTTCTAAACTCTTTAATAGTCATGTTTGAGAACTGTGTTATTAGAATACATTTTTTAAAGAGATAAAATGAGTACCTGACCTAGTTTGAAATAATTGTAGGTAAGACTGTACAAGTAGTCCTTGGCTTACAAGTTCATTTAGTGATTCTTAGAAGTTACAGTGGCACTGAAAAAAAGTGACTTATTATAGTTTTTCACTTACAACCATAGCAGCATCCCTACAGTCACCCGATCAAAATTCAGCCTGATGCATATTTATGATGGCTGCAGTGTCTCAGGATAAAGTAATCCCCTTTTGTAAACTTCTGACAAGCAAAATCAATGGGAAAGCTAGATTCACTTAACAGCTGTGTTACTAACTTAACAATTGCAGTAATTCACTTAATAACTATGGCAAGAAATGTCGCAAAACTCAATTAACAAATGTCTCACGTAATAACAGAACTTTTGGGCTCAATTGTGATCATAAGTCAAGGATTACTTCTATGTAATGAGATTGTCATAGTCTAAGAAGGCAGAATGTCAGTGTTTCTCAAACTTGGCATTTTTAAGGTATGTTGCCTTCAATTCTCAGAATTCCCCAGTCTGGCCACAACAGGCTGAGGAATTCAGGGAGTTGAAGGCCACACATCTGAAAGTTGCCAAGTTTAAGAAACACGGATCTAAATACTTGCCTTTTGTGTCACTAACACCATCTAGAAACATTTTGAAACCTCAGCCATTTAAAAAAAAAATTACATTGTTGTCATCTATTATTTCCTCTCAAACATTATGTTTTGTATTTTTAAATGAACAATGACTATATTTTAATATCCTGAGATTAAAAATGCAGCTAGGAAAATAAGCAGCGTGTTTTTCTCAAAAGCGGCATTTTTGTAAACCTTCCTTTTGGCAGAGCTCCCCCACATGGCAGTACATTCCACAATGCTCTGATTCCCTCTTGGATCATTTTTTCTTCTTTTTCTGTTCAATCATGTTTGATTCTCAGAGACTGCCTGAGCAAGTCCCTGCAGTTTTCTTGGCAAGGTTTTTCAGAAGTGGTTTGCCATTGCCTAGAGCTGAGAGACAATGACTTCCCCAAGGTCACCCAACTGGCTTTGTGACTATGGTGGGGCTAAAACTCACAGCTTCCTAGTTTCCAGTCTGGTGCCTTACTATACTAAACTGGCTCTCACTTGGATCATTCCTACTGCAAAGCAAGACAATTCCACAAGTAGGAATATTTTAAAAGAATTTTTAAAAAGAATTTTTCCTTCACATTGGCAAAATTATCCAAACCACAATTAAAAGAGTTCCGTTGTAGTTTTCATTAAACTATATAAAATATTCCATTTTCTCTACAGGTGCAAATCCCTCTTTTTCCTATTTCCTTTTTATTTACTTTACTTCGCTTCTCTATCCTCATGGACGATACTCATTAAAGAAAACACTCAAAAGGCATGTTATGTCTCAAAGGTCACAAAATGAAAAAGCATTTTCAAATGCTAAATATCCAAGTTTGAAATACCAAAATCCAGAATTTTAAAAGTGTTTAATAAGAGTTGCAAAACCATACAGAATTAATACGCATTTGACCTGTAGGGTTGAAACCTTCACATATAAAAGCGACACGATCTTTTGTCTCCTCTTACATCTGCTAGCTTGAATGAAAACAAATGTTTTCCTTCTTTTTTAAACTGCTATTAAACACACAGCGCCAAATACTGTACGCGTTGGGCTACTGATAACACGCTGGTTCAGTTGCACGAAGTTTGGGGTAACTGAAATTTCAGAACTGTTGGTAAAATAAACGGGACTTGATCGCCAAAGCTCGCCTGTTCAGAACCACAACTTGGGAGTGATCCCGTCAGCTATCAGCGACTAGAAACTGAAAGAGCAGCCGGAAAAGGCGTTCCTAGCTTAGCCCGGATTGCCGTAATAAGCCCCATCTCTGCAAAAGTCTCATCGAGCCTACAACAAAGAGTCTTTCTTATCGAGTCATGCTGGATTCAGGGGATCTCCCAAGATCTCCAGCTGCTTTGCAGCAAGTCGCTACCACCTTACCTGATTCATGTTTAGACTTCCATTATCCATCCATCCAGAAGTTTACCAGAAACCCCGGTCCCATCCGGTTTCCTAGTTCTCCAACAAGCCAGCAACTTTTTGCCTCGCGGTGCCTGTTGTCGCAGGGCGCTTCAGAGGACAACGTCCACTTTCCCAGCTTTGTTTCTATAATAGTCTGCACCAACAGCAGGGAAGCGATCCTGCCTAAGCTCCGATTTCAAATCACAACTCAGATACGCATTTGTGGGTTGAATTAAGCCATGAAATAGCTTCACCAATCAGGAGAAGCGTGTGGGGGGGAGAAGTAGGGAGGAATCGCACGTAAAGCTGCATACATGAGGATATTAGCAAAGCTTTTAAAAGTTTCAGGCTGAAAGTGGTGGCTAAGGCTACAAAGAAGGAAATTAACCTGTGCTGTAAAAGATCATTTTTTATTTGTATCTGCTGCACATTCATTCCGAAGTCCTGTGATCTACCAACAAAAAACAAAACTTGTACATTTTAAAAGAGAATGAAGCTATCAAGAGAATAAAATGACACCTTACATACTGCCAATCTGCCATCATAAAAGAGAATCTTCTAAAGAGAAGAAAATTCCTCGGTATTGTTCATACATATCTTCCAAGGAATCATACTAATCAAAAGGGGGATTGAAAAGCCAGTTGTTATTTTCCCCATAATTTAGTACCAAAGCTAAAGCAATACATTTGCATTTTAAATATAGATTCTTTAAAATTAAAGAATTAAAATAAAACTGCTTCTTACAAATAGAGGGCTTCTACTTGGAATAGTGTTTAATTTCCTTTTTTGTTTGCACTCTCTCTTTGGCTCTTGCTTTGAAGTTGGGTACTTAGTTTCTTTACACTGTTCAGTTTTGGTCAGGGACTATATGCTCAAACCAATTCTGAACTTTTTTTTTTTACACATTTATCCTTGGCTGGGAAGGTGAATGTTAGGTTTTCTATTCTACTCTAAAGGGAAATTTGTCCTTTGATCTCTAGATTTATAAAAAACAAATTCAAAGTCTGAAAAAAACCATTATTATGGATTTGCTACAGCAGTAACTACACTTATCTAAGTGTGGTGTAAATCACTTTGAAGAGCCTCACAAATCCAGAAATGCGCTGTAAGTGAATAGCAGAAAAATTCATCCTTGTGCCTGTGGGAAGTCACACCCCCCAGAGAAGGAAATATTAAAAGGGCAGAAAAAATATATTTCCCCAGGATCTTGAAGAGGCAGGAAAGCATGCCCAGTTTTCTTAATAGCCCCAAGTCTGCCTCCCCCAAGCAGAAACCAGCTCTATAGAAATGCAGATGCAGACCATTCAGGAAAGTTGGAGCTAGAAGATTAAGAAGTCAAAGACCTAAAATCTGCATACCTCGCCCAAACTCTAAGAGTCATTAGCCCAGCCCCAGGGAAGCAGGATATGACCTTTGGGATATAATAGGATTAAACCACAGATACCAAGGCCCAGAAAAGCACACTCAGACTCAGTTCAAAGTTCATGCCATAGGAACAGGAAACAACTCAAAACAAAAGGCTTCAGAGGGTATAAAAAACCCACTCCCTACATGTGTTCCCTCTCTTTTCTGCCAGAGCCATCTTCCTGCCTAGCTCTCCTCTCCAATAAACTACAACCTTCTTCCCAAAGCAGTTGCCATGTTTATTCCCAGCTTGGATGAACCAGGATGAAGACTTTTCTTCCAATATGCCAAAATATCACAGTCAAATAATGAAATTGCCCTTTTTCTCCCTTAAGATATTTACAAGGCAGAATTGGAGCCTCATCAATGTACATACATAAAGATTCTCCATGATTCTGGGTAAAAGTTATTACATCATTTAGTCCGTTGTTTCTTATTTAGACTGCCAAATATTTATAGAGTCCTCTGAAAGGTATAAAGATCTTGTTGAAGATTTATACTATCAGCACATATCAATAAATATAGCAGCAGCAGTAGGATTATTGTAAGATAAAAATCAACCCTAAAGTTGTTCTGGAGTCAGGCAGTGCTTATTTATTAAATAAACAAAAACAGCAATATTATTAATCCAATAGATAAAACAAGAAAATTAGTAGCAAAATATTATTCAACAGCCTGACATTGATTCCTACAGAAAGACCTTAACATAGGTGTCAGGCATGCTTTTTTTGGAGGGTGGGGGAATAGATTGACGTTGGTGAAAAGGCCAATGGTGTAGACTCTTTACAGTCTACATATTTAGTTGGGAAAATGGAAGAGTTTTAAATAATGCTCTTCTTTAGCATTTTAGAAAGAAAAAGAAAACAAGATAGCCTCTCATAAGTCCTTACTACAGTCATATTGGACAGTTGTCATCTGAAACATCCCTATTGCCTACTGCTTTCTAATACAATGGGCATTTTTATATCAGGTAATAATATCTTTTTCTCTCAAACCAGATACGATATTGGGATGTGAAAAGAATGAACCAGATATGCTCCATATGATTCCTTTCTGCATATATCTGCTTTTGTGGATTGATTTGTCCTTGCAATAACTTTTATTTTATTCACTTATAATATAAAATATGAAAATACAAAAGCAAATAATAAGGAACAAAGGAAAGGGAAAGGGAAAAAGAGAAGTGTGGGAAAAGGGGGGAAAGGAAAAAAAAGGTGTTGACTTCGGACTCCCTCTGTTGCAGTAAAATAAAGCATTCACATTGAACCTCAACTTTTTACATTTCTATAGTAATATGAACGAGCCATTTCTATATCAACAAATCAATCTAATCAGTAAAACCCAAAATCAAAGTCCAGAAGCAGTTTCCAAGTAGAAACAAAAGAATTTATATTCTTTTCTTTTAACTAAACAGTCAATTTAGCCATCTCTGCTAATTCCATCAACTTTTGCAGCCATTTGTCTATGGTGGGAATCGAAACATCCTTCCATTTTTGTGCATAGTCTTGCTGCAGGCAACATATATGAAATCAGAGTTCCAAAAAATTTTCCAAGTCTTTTTCCATTAGACCCAGAAGAAAAGTTTCTGGTTTAATCTTTATATTCACATTAAAAATTTTCTGCAGTAAAATATGAATCCTCCAATATTTCTTTGCTTTATCACATGTCTACCATAAATGACAAAAAACCCCTTCTTTACATTTGCATTTCCAAAATTCATTTGAGATACCTTTATACATTCTAGATAACTTATCTGGAGTTAAAGACCAGTGATACACCATCTTATAAAAGTTTTCTTTTAAGTTATAGTTTAGTGGGAATTTTAAGCCTTTTGTCCACACATTGTTCAAGCATCACATTATACCCAAAATTCCTTGTCCACTGAATCATAGTGTTTTACATGTTCACCTTCCAAATCCAATGTCAATAACGTTTTGTAAACCTTAGCAATAATATGGTCATCATTACCACATAGTAAAATTTCCAATTCATTTTTAACAAAGTCAAACCCATGACTCTTTTTATCTAGTTTAAATCTTTCTTTCATTTGTAAGTGCAAGGACCTACCTCCGTTTCCCTACCAAGAAAGCAGAACTCTTGAAACTTGCATCATTTCAAAAGGAACTTTTATTGGCAGGTACAGGCAGCAGGAATACTAGGCAGGATCTGAGGGCTTCCTGCCCGAATCAATAGGTAAAACCCACAAAATCATAACTCCACCCCAACTGTACATCCGGTCGACTCAAAAATGCCAATCCATAGGTGTCATTGAACTGTGGGAAATGAACCAATAAGACGCATCTCTCAAGGTTGTTAGGTCTTGGCTGTTTCCTCCCTCCTCACTAAGATAAGGTAGATGGCCTCGAGGCATCCTTTCACACTCCGAAGAGGATACATCAAAGCAGATAGAGGAAGCATTCTACATGCAGTACAAAGCCCCCTGGTCTCCCCCCTCCCCCATAGAAGAATGGCAGAACCCGAACAGCTTAAACACAGAGAATATAAGGGATTAATAATTGAGGGTTCTGACATGCCGCTCCCCCTAGAAAAATGAGAGATCCACCTGGAGACGGATAAAATAATAAAGGGGAAAGAATTGAAACAACGTTAGTCAGGCTTATCTGGATAACAGGCATGGAACCTTTCAGCCATCTAGGGGCCCTGACATGTTTCTTATGTACCCACTCATTTTGGGATGGTGGTAGGTCTTTCCATGCTACCAAGTATTGGGTTGACCCATGATGTTTCCTGGAGTCTAATATCTCTTTAATTTCAAAATGTTGCTCCCCTTCCACCATAATGGGTTTTGGGGAAGGCTTCTGCTGGCCTTAGGGGAGAGGTTAGCTCCCATTTAAGCAGGCTGTAGTGAAATACCGGGTGGACTTGTCTTAATGGTTTTGGGAATTACAATTACACTGTTACTGGGTTAATTATGCATTTTATGGGGAATGGTCCTATGAATTTTGGCCCTAGCTTTTTTGAGGGCTGCAAAGACTTTAGGAATTTGGTTGAGAGATACACGTTTCCCCCTACTTTGAATGGTTTAGGTTCCATTCATTTTTATCTGCCTGTGCTTTATAAGCTTCCCTCGCCTCATCCAGAGATTTTCTAACCACAGGCCAGGTGTTTTGCAGCTGTTTAATCCACTCCTTCAATGAGGGGATGGTGGGTTCATTGATAGGTAACTCAGGCATCATGTTAAAACTTTGTCCTGTCACCACTTGGAAGAGGGTGTAACCAGTACTTGAATGCACTGCGTTATTGTAAGCCACTTCGGTGAAAGGCAGCAGATCAGTCCAGTTGTCTTGTTGGTAATTTATGAAGCACCTTATGTATTGTTCTAGTACTGAGTTTGAACGTTCTATCCCACCATTCATTTGGGGATGATAATTAGCTGACAGGCCTTGGCTGGTACCAAGTAGGTCCAAAAAGGCTCTCCAGAATTCTGAAGTAAACTGGACCCCTCTGTCTGATATAATGCGCTGTGGGGCCCCATGCAGCCGGTAGATATGCAGTACAAACAATTAGGCCAAGGCTTTAGCAGTGAGAATTTTCTGGCAGGGTATGAATTTTCCAAACAGGTCCATCACTACCCAAATGACAATGTTTTCCCCACTCTCTGGCAGTTCTACTATAAAATCCATAAAGAACTCTCTCCAGGGTGCTGAAGGGCTGGCAACTGCTTGTAATAATCCCGGCATTTCTCCCTGTCTCCGTTTGACTGCTGAGCAGACCGGGCAGCTAGCCATATAGCTTTCAATGTCCTTTTTTAGAG